AATCTTAATCTTTCCAGTATTATCTATTATTCTCCACTACCAATAATTAATCTTTTCCAATATCATATAATTAATCTTTTTCAGTATCAAATAATTCATCTTTTCCAGTAACATATAATTAATCTTTTCCATTATCATATAATTAATCTTTTTCAGTGACATGTAATTAATTTTTTTTAGTATCATGTAATTAATTTTTTTCAGTATCAAATAATTAATCCTTTCCAGTATCATATAATTATTCTTAATCTTTCCAGTACCATCTATTATTCTCCACTAACAATAATTAATTTTTCAGTTTAGCATCCAAATTGTTCAAAACTTTAATATTGTTTATTTATCTATTGTCTTTTCACATCAGTATCCAAATAAAGAAAATATGTTAGTAAAATGTCATAATAAGAAAGATCCCAATTTTAAAAATCAAACCATATCCGAAATCTTAAGCAATCCAAATAAATATGAACTCTAACTACATCCAATATAAATATATTCATTCTATGTTTATATTAGCTCTAGGAAAAAAAAGAAAAACATGTTAGTAAAATGTTGTACTAATAAAAAATCATGTAAATAAAGTCAAACCATATCCAAAGATTTATCTTATCTCAATTATTAACTCTAGAAAAAAAAAATAAATAAAAACATGTTAGTAAAATATCATACTATTAAAAAAATATACAACAAAGTCAAACCATATCCGAAGATTTATCTTATTTCATTCATCAACTCTAGAAAAAAGAATGAAAAATATATTAGTAAAATGTTGTACTAATAAAAAAAGTCATGATCCAAACCATATCCAAGGATTTATCTTATCTCAGTTATTAACCTTAAAAAATAAATAAATAAATAAATAAAAATATCAGTAAAATGTTGTATTATTGAAAAAAAAGTCATAATCCAAACATATTCAAGGATTTATCTTATTCAATTTATCAACTCTAGAAAAAAAAATGAAAAACATATTATTAAAATGTTGTACTATTAAAAAAAACATGTAATAAAGTCATCATATCCAAAGGTTTATCTCAATTATCAGCTCTAGAGAAAAGCATCTCATTTATCAGCTCTAGAAAAAAAAATGAATAAAAAACATGTTAGTAAAATGTTGTATTATTAAAAAAAGGTCATAATTCAAACCATATCCAAGGATTTATCTTTCATTTATCAACTCTAGAAAGAAAAAAATGAAAAAACATGTTAGTTAAATGGCGTACTATTAAAAAAAATGTGCAAATAAAGTCAAACCATATCCAAGGATTTATCTTAATCTTAATTATCAACTTTAGAAAAAAAAAAGAAAAACATGTTATTAAAATGTTATACTATTAAAAAAAATCATGCAATAAAGCCAAACCATATCCAAAGATTATATCTCAATTATCAGCTCTAGAGAAAAGCATCTCATTTATCAGATCTAGAAAAAAAAATGAAAAGCATGTTAAAATGGTATACTATTGAAAAAACATGCAATAAAGTCAAACCATATCCAAGGATTTATCTTATCTTATTTATCAACTCTAGGAAAAAAAAATGAAAACCATGTTAGTAAAATGGTGTACTGATAAAAAAAGTCATGATCCAAACCATGTCCAAGGATTTATAATTATCAACTCTAGGAAAAAAAAATGAAAAATATGTTAGTAAAATGTCATACTATTAAAAAAACATGCAATAAAGTCAATAAAGTCAAACCATATCCAAAGATTTATTTTATCTCAATTATCAATTCTAAAAAAAAAAAAAGAAAATAAACAAATAATAAAATCAAATGAACTTTTTGAAGTTTCTAAAGTCCAATCACTAAAAATAGAAAAAGTAGAAGAGAGAGAGAAGTTAATGGATTGATAATTTAATAAAATAAAACATTAATCTCTTATTCTATTATTCTTTCACACTCTTCCATGCATTTTCATTTGTCAGTAAATAAGAAACTTAAATTAGTAAGTGTCATAAATAAAAACCAAACTGATATTGGCATATATATTAACCTGATTAATCTTAGGAGATAAAAAATCGAATAGCAGATGACTATTTGAATGATACAGCAAGAAGGAGAGTTGAAGGTAAACCAAAAGTAAAGGTAGTTGTATAAAGATAAAACAACTGAGAGAAGAAAGGTTACATTTGCTGATTTTTGTGGATAGTTTCATGTGAGTAAATGGTTATATTTTGTACATACAGAATATTGAAAAATATGTATAATTATTATTATGTTTTTGGTGAAATAAGGAAATTTCGGAACTCTTTCCGCTTCCCTTTTTTTACTATAAATCCGCAGTAAAATTACATTTGGTTTTCCCGGAAGTTTTTATTCTTGTTTCCCATAATAAATACACTATAATTTCAGAATTATTGTTAGCAGTAGTTTTATAAGATGGTATGATGGTAAGTCGACAGTAAAAGATAGAAGAGAGAGAGATAGATGGCAATTATGGAGGGAGGTATCAAACCAAGAGATGAAAGAGGTAGAAGAGGACAAACCGAAATATCTTAAAGCTTTAACAGCGTCATATCCTAGGATTGCATTTTCGAAGTCCGGCCTTGGAAAATTCTGACTTATTACAAGCCAAAAAAGGACCTGGAGGAAACATTGTTGAAGGCGGCCGAAAAACGAGATGGCACAAAATGGGCATTTCGGACTTTCAGGGAAGTGAGGGACCAAGTGTGAGCGGAAGGAAAGGAGAGACAATAGACAACGGAAGTGACAAGCGCTGTTCGAGCGACAAAAAAGAAATCTTTCGTTCAGGTCAGTAGATTCGGATAAACTTCAAAGTCGCCATGGATGGAGCTTGGACAAGCTTAGCAAAGAGGTGATATATCCCTCGGTCAAGCCGGAAGAACTAGTAGAAATAGTAGATAACCTTAGGAGAGATAATCAGCCACGCGATCCAAAAAAAGAAGGACAAGGATAAAAAAGAACAGTGTATCGAATGCCTCGCCCTAAAGTATGTAGTAACTGAGAAAGACGTGGTTGATTTTATTAACGAGAATAGTGACATTTAGTACAAGGGTGAGATGGAAGTGGACGAAGATGACGACCGCCACTTTTGGAAACAGATTACGCATCATCTGGTGATCAATGAACTCGCGGCCAAAAATGTGATCCTGCGGTTCATACCATACAATTCTAATCGGGTTCCAAGTAAAGACGAAGTCAAGGATTTTGACACTAACAATGAAAAGATGAAGGCTCGTCTTGCGAAAGAAGATAAGACGAAAATAGTGGAAGTACTGTAGATGAACCGGTGGACAGGCCTAAGAAAATAAGAATCGATGGAGGGTGAGTTTTTTTAGGATAGTCTTCTAGAATGTGGGTTTTTTGCTGGATATCGTAGATAGTGAATTTTTTACAAAAAATGTTCGTGTGTGTGCCACGATGTTAAATCTAACCAGCAAAATGACCATTTCACTTTGGTGTTAATTCAATTATATGGTTCAACAGTGTAAAGGGGTAACTGTTAGTAAATTTAATAGCCGAACTAAAGGAGTGGGTCGGTAACTTCGTAGTTAGCGCTAGGAAGAATAACAAAGGCGTGGACTGGCATCAACAATAGAGTAAAAAAACAAGACTATACCATGTACGTTGAATAGCTAAACTAGTTTCTAACATATCACAGTTCTTCAGTTAAAAGACGAGGTTGGAGTAAAGATGGTTAAGGCAAGAGAGAAAAGAAGACCTAAAAAAGAGAAACCTGAAAAAAAAGAGGTGAGAGAAAAAAAGACTAAATTTTTAATCCATAATATCCTACGCGTCAGAATGATATACGTGTTATAATATAAACGACGCGACTAAGAGTGAGTCATAGTACTCACATTGCTTTAATTGATTTAATTGATTAATTAACTAATATATAACATACCACAAGCACATATTCAATTTCCTATTTAATAAATATTACTCATGATATTTTGGGCTGCCAATATAATAATATTATGTAATAAATAGTTAGGATATTGTTATTGATTATCAATCGTTTGAGCCAAAAAGAATCAATAAATCTCCATTTAGCCAATAACATATCGGCTGATTGGAAAAATCAATTAATATTTAAGCTCAGTTGATGGGTTCATTATATAACTTATTGATGAACTGATATGATCAAGTTTAAATATTTTTTACTATACCTGATATATAATTAAATACATATTAAATTTTAGATGTTTAAGAATATATATATTCCCAATAAAATTTATCCGTTATTTCTGTAAAAACTAAAAACTCCGTAAAAATTTGCATTTCACGGATCCATTTATGGAAAATGTAATAATTCGATAATTTCCGTAATATAAAGGTTACTAATTCCGTTACGGAAAAAAAGATGGATATAAAAAGCGGATCAACTTTTTTACGGAATTGTGTATACAGAAGTTGTAAAAATATTTCTAAATACATTGTGGGTTACCGAAATTTACAGTATATACATAATAAATACTCGGAATTTATCAAAATGGGTGTGATTTATACTTCCAACAACATTTCTAACATTACAGTTGATATTTTATGGGTGTTGTATATATTTATATTATCGTACGGCTAAATCGGCTAATGCAGATCGATAAACTACCGATATTCAATATTGTACGCAAATAAACTATTGATATCAATATTGTACGATAATGAAAATATCGGTAATTATAAAGAAAAATAGCAAAAGATAGATTTTTACAAATAATACATAAGTCAAGTCCCAAAATGACCTACATATTAAAAGTACTTGCTCGGCATCAATTCTTTTTTTTTGAATCTTTCCATAAACTTTATCCAAGAAATAATGATTTTAATTTTTCATGCCTACATTTAAAAATATACAAGAACACGTATTCTAAATTTTGCCAGATTCATATTCTTTAGATAATATTTAAAATAATGTTAATAATGTTACAATATTTTTATTCTTTATTTCTTTATAAAAATTTTATTTTATAAGTGATTATAACTACTTTATTATCTAATATTAGATATAAATTAAAATATATTATCCGAAATAATAAAAAAACTGTATTCAAAATGACGGAATTTTATTAAGCGTAATTATCATTTAAAAGACCCAAGAAAAAATAACCATTAAAACTAGATTAATAAAAAAAAATTTAAATCCATTACTTTGAATCTTTCAACTCATTAGCAAGATCTCTAATTTTTTTTCTCATATCAGAAGGAAGTAAAAGATTCTGTTCATTAACTTCTAAAATCTTCTCAAAATCTATTTGATCTGAATTTGATTGTAATTCAATAATTCTTTGATAAAATTGATCAATAATAGAAAGTACAAATACTCCGCAATCTGACAAAAATTTAAAAAATTTACATTAATTATCAAAATATTGTTATATAATAAAAAATAAATATGTAAGTTACCTGAACCTAAAATAAATTAAAAATATCCAATTAATTGAAATTATTTAAATTAATATTAAATATTTGAGTTAAATACATCAATTTTAACATACCATTTTTTTGTTGAGGTGTTTTTACAACGACAATATTATTTCCTAAAAATGGAATTTTTTTTTTAAAAAAAATATCATAATCTAATCATAATATAATTTTTCATTTCTTTAATACCTACTTTTGACTTCTAGAACACCGGAAATTTTATCTGCAAATTTATAAGCAATATAAGAATTCATATTATTAGCACTATCATAATATAAAAATTTATTATTCTGTTTTACGTAAATTAGCAAAGACCAATGACTTCCTCCAATAAAACTTTCTAAGGACTGTTTATTATTTACTGGAATGAATATTATATCAGCAGAAAATATTTGTTTTGGAAGTGCGCTAGCAAGATATTTCGCATCTTTATAAAAATAAATGAAATATATGTAAATAGAATAAAATAGGTAAATGATATTAGAACAAAAAAAAAGTGGATGAAAAAAACCTTCAATATTTGTTATGAGAAAACTCATCGATGCTCGCAAAAGATTTGGTTTAACCTTGGATTCTTCTTTTATAGAATAATTGTATTCAAGATATCTTTTAAAGGAAAAAAAAATGTTTTATTTTTAGAAATATTTATGAAAATCAAGTAATGATTTCTTACATACTCCAAATAAAAATCTACGCATCGGTCATTCAACCATCTATCATCGTATAAGAGTCCATAATCCTGTATTGGGTGAAAAAAAAAAATAATTTAAAGAACATACTTTCGATACAAAAATTTATAAGAAATATTATAATTATACCTCTGGAGCAAGCATAGCGTCTTTATAGTATAAAGTAGAGGTTAACATATTTGAGAAAGTTAAGTTCACATTTCACCAATAGTAGGCTCAAGTAATTAATTGCGTTAGAGTTTCACAATGTTTAACAAATTATTACTCTGCAAATATTTCGTCATTGCGCATTTTTTGTAATACATGTAACGTGATTTCTTTGTGTCATTGTAGAGTTGCACATGATTTATAGTATAATTTCTAACGTTAACTCCATTTTAACTTCGTTATTAACCCGTTTTGAGTTTTGATATGTAAGCAAAAACATTATTACGTATTTACGTTCACAAGTTCATTACATAATTTAATTAGTAAATCAAACAGCTTTAAAAGTTTAAGCCTTTAATATTATTTATAATGCTTGAGGTAACAAATTTGCCATAATAGTTAAATTTGGATTAATTATAATGGATTTGTTTCCGATATACGTTAAATATCTAACTTTTTTTCTTTAGAGTGCAGAAAATAAAATAACTTATCAATTGATGATTTGAATAATTCATTTATCTAAGTGGTAATAATATTTTGTCTTTGAGTGAAATATAATATTTCCTATTTGTGTCATTTTATTTCTACCCAACCTTAGAAAACATTATTATGACATTGAACATGATTTTAATAAAACAGCAAGAGATTAACAAAATACTTTAATATAAACGTTTCATGCTTTTTGCGTTCTACAGTATATCTGTCAATATCAGATAAAGTAGTAGTGTACATCCTTCATCCGCATAAAATATAGCTTTTTTATTCTTAGCGTTAAAACCAAATCAGCCATGTATCTTATTACTGTGTGCGCCTCATGAAATTTTGCATTATCGTCTGTAAATGGATAAACTAAAAAAAAAAAAAATTACAATTTCATTATCAACATGAAAGATTGAAAAGTACTTATACCCTATCAAATTCAGATGACGAACAGCCACAATTATCATAAAATATTACGGTACAGGAATATTAGACATATAATATAACATTGACAAAAACATCCATCCCTTTAAGAACTTGGACTAGATTGACTTTTTGAGCGTAATCTACGCATAAGTTTCTGCACCTTTTTAACTTTTTCATTTTCAATATCGTCCTATTCTGTAAACACGATAATATGAGAAATTCTTGATATTTTTTTATAATAAATCTATTGCTTAAGCTTTAAGTTTTACCTAATTTAGCGTCAAGTTTATGCGTGACCTGTCCTTTTGTAGTATGTCGTAAAGTATCACAGCCAGTTTGCTGAATAATATGGATATCAAATTCAGGCTAGATAAGTCGAAATAAAATTTTACGTAGATAAAAAATTTCAGAATTACCTTGCGAAATAAGAGTTTACGGCTGGTTATATTATATTTATAAAATATAAATGTTTAATGCAAAATAATAGCATTATTATTTAAGATATAAAATTTGATATATGTTTGGCATATTACTTTAATTAGTTGTAACTTTCTCTTTTTTTTCTAACAAAGAATAAATATATTTTATTTATAATTTTCAAAAAATAAGTACACATAATTTTATTTACATCTATATTATATAAACCAAATTTTTTATTTCTCAAATTTTTTTAATTGATTTTGAGCAATTTTTAACCCTTGTTTAGCAGATTGTTCATACCAATAAATTGCATTATCAATATTTTTCATAATACCTTTTCCATTTTCATACATGAAAGCTAAATTATATTGAGCTGTACAACTTCCTAAATTTGCAGCCTTTTGATATAATTCAAATGCTTTATTCTTATCAATAATAGTACCAATTCCATATGAATAACAATATCCTAAATTATTTATTCCAGAAATATTTTCTAAATTTGCAGCTTTTTGATATAATTCAAATGCTTTCTGTTTATTAACATTAGTTCCAATTCCTGAATAATTAAATTCTCCAAGTAAAACAATAGATTTTGAATTATTTTGACTAATTAATAACCAATCATAAATTTCTTTTGATGTTATATTACGATCATTAAGATAATTAAAAATTTCTTTTTTTTCTTTTTTTTCGTCCGATTTATTAATAAGATCAACTAATTCATCAACTATGACGTTAAAATCATTCTTAATTTGATTACTTGATGATTTTAATTCATCGACTACCTGGTTGATAGTTGGACGATTAATTGGTTCACCATTCCAACAATCTAAAAAAAGGGGTAATAAATTTTTTAATTAATCAATTAAATTAATTTTACTTGTGAAACATAATTAATATTATATTTACCAGTATAAATTTTTATATAATTCTCGGGTGTATTAGGAATAGGTTTCTCTCTTAAACCTTGTAAAATTTCTACAGCCAAACCGATATCATATGGTTTTCCCTCAGCATAAAAAGGACGTTGACCACTAGATATTTCCCATAATAATACTCCAACGCTGTAAACATCACTCTTTTTATTTAAGGAATATACTTTATTATTGTTTCTTTGTCTGCTAAAACTTTTTGGATCGACGTAAGGAATTACTCCAAATAATTTTGATTGAAGGTTGGAAGATTCTTCAATCCTTTTCGATAATCCAAAATCGGCCAACTTTATAGAATTTTGGTGAACCAACACATTATTAGAGTGCTATTAATAAAAAAGAAAGTTTTATAAGTCTATATAAGTCATAACAATTTATAAAACCATGACATATAAAATAGAATACCAAATCACGGTGCATGATTCCTTCATCATGTAAGCATGATACAGCGGAAGCTAACTGTAATGCCATGTTAAATTTATCATTCCAAGTAAGAATTTCAAAATTTTCTTTTAGATATTTTCGAAGAGTACCACCGTCAGCATACTCCATTACTAACATGTATCTCTTTGAATTATCACTTTGAACCTCTTATTATATTAAAAAAAAAGAAAGTTAATAAAGATTGTTTTTAATAAATTCTATCAACATTTTATAAATATATTATTATACCTGTTGCAACTCCATAGAAACGAATAATATTGTCATGAAAATCAACTTCGCGTTGAAGTTTAAGCTAAATCAATAAAATTATAAATAAAAATATTAATTATTATATAAATGCATATATTGTATGTATTGAATAAAAATAACTACCTCATTAACAATTTCTTTAACTGTGGCATGATTGAAATTAAAAAAAGATTTTAATGCTAAATATTTATCAGAATTTTTCCAATTTGCACGATAAACTTTTCCAAAACTTCCATAACCAATTTCTTCAACATTATAAAAATATTCACATTCATAATTTTTAATATGTTTTTTATAAATGGCCTCTTCGATCCAATCATTCCATTCATTTGAATTTTTATTAAATCTAAATTCGGTGTTACTAAACATTGTTATAAAAATATAAGAAAAAAGGTTTTTTTTTTAAAAAAAATTAAATAAATTAAATGAGAAAGAAAAAAATTATGTATGAAATTATACGTTGATCCATTTTCATTTCATTATATAGGCTGATTTGTGTTACCTAATATATGTTTTGTCAGAAAAAAATTTTGTGTTACTCGATCGTTCGATCGTCATGATTGTTTATCACGAGATTTTCCAAGTGTGTTTTCTTTCGTAAAAAAAAAAATGATGAAAAAAAAAATGATAAATTATTCGACTTACATTTTTAATTATCCTTGTAATGTGTGAAACTGATAAGTATTTATACTTGTAATAGTAGTGATTTGAGATGTTTTATTAGGAAGTTGTACCGGTCAAAGGAAAAAATATTTGTAAAAGTTCATATGTTACACACACCAATTACAACAAGTCGGAAAATTACGGAAATTACTCACGATTTTATCGACATACGGTTACAACCTTACAACCTTACAACCATTACGGCGACCAACACTAATTGAAATTGTTTATTTCTCATATTATTTAACTCTTAATTATAGACACGAAAAATGATTAATCTATCATTATTACTTTAACCTGACTGAATTTGTTGTTATAATGAATTTATTGGTAAAATCGTACCATTATAATCACGTATAAACTAGAATTTTCCATTTCTCTAGTAATTTACTCATTCATTCCTTGCAATGTTAATAATGTACGATTATATTTTTTAATATTTATATGTATAAACGTCGGATTTACTACTCTCGCTAAAATATTTTTTTTTTTATTTTTAAGAATTCTTTTCGATTGTATGTCTGTAAACATTTAAATACTGTAATGTACGCTTTTAGCGACGAACAAAATGGTCATTGCATTATCTTTTGTATATTGCGTATACGATAAATATAAACTAATTATTCATAATGTATTATTTTCTATACCAAAAAATAATGTTTGTATGAAATACGAGTATTTAGCTATCATTTGGCGCAAGAGGACAAATTGCACGCGCGCATTTTCGAAACTTAAATACAGTATCTAAAATCATTTATTATGAAATAATAAAGAATTTAGTTTTTTTGAACGAATTTACTCATAATAGCAATACTTGAGCGACTTAAGCGGTATCATTGCACGCACAGTACATATTCTAGCTAAACGAAATATGGCCATATTAGATAAAGTAGAAGTAAAACCATGATAAACCATTGTTACTATTAAAATCTATGCTTACAACATGCTGTACGTATTTCGTAAAATTTTACTCTGGAGATTCAATATGACGTATAGTAAACGATCACTAAGATAACGTCAATGTTCAGTTCATTATCATTCTTATTGAAATTTATTAAATTACACTAAAATTAACTGATATAATTCATTTTAGCTATTATTCTGGGTAGCTTGGAGTCCCTGTTCGGCGGATTTTTTATACCAATAAATTGCTTCATCTATATTTCTGGTGATTCCTTTTCCAGTTTCATACATCAAGCAAGATTATATTGAGCTGCACTATTTCCTAAATCAGCTGCCATTTTATATAATTTCAATGCCTTTTTCTCGTCAATATCAGTTCCAATTCCCCTTTCATAACAATATCCTAAATTATACATTCCAGATGTATCTTCTAAATTTGCTGCTTTTTGATATAATTCAAATGCCTTTTGTTTATTAATTTCAGTTCCAAATCCATTTTTATAACAATTTCCCAAACTAATCATTCCGAATGTATCACCTAAGTCTACAAAACTTTGATATAATTCAAAAATCTTTTGATTAATGTTGGTACTGACTCCATCCTTATAACAATTTTTTAATATATTCATTCCAGTCACAATTTTCAAATCAGCAGACTTCTGATATAATTCAAATGCTTCCTTTTCATCAATACCGGTTCTAATTCCTAAATAACCAAATCTTTCAAGTACTATAAGAGAATTTGAGTTGTTGTGATTATATAATAATAAATTATTAATCTCTTGTAAAGTTATATAACGGTTATTAAGATAAGTTAATATTTCCCGTTTTTCTATTTTACAATCCTCATATTTATAAAAAAAATTAATTATATCATTTACTAATATATTGAAACTATCCTCAGATTGGTTACTTAATGCCATTGAAGAATCAATTTCTTTCATACTCATCATAACAAAATTTTGCATAATTTGAGATAATTCACCATGTAATGAACTATTATGAGAATTCTCAATAGGTTCAACAGCATTTGAAATAAATTGCTGCTTATCATCTGCTGTTAATTGGGAATTTTCATTAACATTATCTAGGTGAATGTCTTTTATAGTTGTATCATATTTTGCAATGATTGCTTTTAGTTCATCAGCTACTTGATTAATAGTTGGTCGTTCCTTTGGCTCACTACTCCAACAATCTACAAAACAAAAAAAAAAAAAAAAAAATTCAATCACTAGATTATAAAATAATATTTTTCAGATTCAGATCAAATCAAATTAGATTAAGATCAGATTACTAACATCCTGATTTAATCTGANTCCAACAATCTACAAAAAAAAAAAAAAAAAAAAAATAAGAACGTTAATATTATTTAATTAATTAAGAAACATATTTATATTAATTACCAGTATAAAGTTTTACGTAATCTTTGGGTGTATCCGGAACAGGTGATTCTCTAAGACCTTCTAAAATTGATACAACCAAATCAATTTCATGTGGAACATCATTAAAAGGTGGCTGCCCACTAGATATTTCCCATAAGAGTACGCAAATACTGTAAACATCACTCTTCCTATCCAATGAATATATTTCTGTTTGTTTTTATCCCTAAATAGGGAACCTGCTTTTGACTGAGGGTTGGATGATTCGTCAATTATTTTTGACAGCCCAAAATCGGCTAATTTAACAGTATTTTGGTGGATTAGTACATTTTTGGAGTGCTATTGTAAATAAAATTAGTATTATAAATAAAGATACATTAATTATTTAAGTAGTCATAGTATATATAGTAGAACCTTACTAAATCACAATGCACAACTTCTTCATCATTTCAACAAAATTTCAAAAATTGGACAAGTGGAAATCATAACGTTGATGAATTTATTCAAAAAGCACAATTAAAAGCTGAAAATGCGCGACGTATTGTAGAGTGGATTGAATATGATAAATTTGAAGATGTTGAATATTTAGCAAAAGGGGATTTGGAACTACTTTTAAAGCAGTTTGGAAAGATGGTCCTTGGATAAGAAATAATTCTTAATTGGAAAGAGTAGGTGAAACAAAAGTTGCTTTAAAGTGTTTACATAACTCACAAGGTATTACGACAGAATTCTTAAAAGAAGTAAGTTATTTTCATTAAATTTAAATTAGCCTTTATAAATGTTAAACTAACTATAATTTTCTTTTAAGGTTGAATCAAATATTTTAGTATATTCTACTATGTGGATAGTTCGTTGTTTTGGTATTACCAAAGATCCAAAAACAAATAATTTTATGATGGTAATGGAATTAAAAGATGGTGGTTTAAGACAACATTTGAATAGCAACTTCATTTCACTGAATTGGATGCAAAAGTTGAGTAGTATATTACTATTGCAATTGGTCTTAGTAGTATTCATAAAGAAGGATTAATTCATCATGATTTTCATTGTGGAAATATATTAAGCGATTTTGATAGCAATGCTTTTATTACTGATTTGGGATTGAGTCAGCCGGCAAATGTCAAATCCTCTCAAAATAATAATAAAAAAATATATGGAGTATTACCTTATGTAGCTCCAGAAGTTTTAAGAGGGAAAGAATATACTCAACAAAGCGATATTTATGGATTTGGAATCATTGCATATAAAATTTGTACAGGACTCCCTCCTTATTATTATATAGCTCATGATGAATTCTTAGCAATGAAAATTTGTAAAGGGTTGAGGCCAAAGTCTAATTATAAGATTCCTCAATTAATTTTTGACATTATTAATCAATGTTGGGATGCAGACCCTTTAAAACGACCTAATGCGGGTGAATTAAATAATTTATTTTATAATTTATAGAATTCTATTAATACTAGTAGCGTAGATTCTGTAATTTATGGTCAAGTTAAAGAAGGAGATGATATTAATAAAAAGTTATCTTTTTCATCACCTTTAATATCTACCGGTACTATATCATATATGACACATCCTCAAGCAGTTTACACATCCCTATAAGAAATATGTATACGGAAAGGATACGTTTTGTATACATTTTATGTACGTTTCTATAGATTCCGTATACAAATTCCGTATATTTAATAAGCAATTCATTTTTGAACATTTTTTTAAAAAACTAATGTATACGAAATGTATACGGAAAAAATTAATTATACGGAATGTATACGGAATTTTTAAACTTAATATTTTTAGAAAATAATTTTACAAAAATCTCGTATCATAACACGAGATCACGTGATTGTTTATTGTTTTGTTATGATACGTTTTTTGTTTTTTATATAAACCCTTACTATGATGAGTTTGATCTTCCGATCTTCCTTTCTGTCTTTCCCTTCCTTCTCTTTTCTCTTGTTTTATTTTTGTTATTTTTTCTAAATTTTTCTTCTTTTTTCGTCACCCCCCTTTTAAAA